TTGATTAAATATTACTGTAATTCAACTTTCCTACCATGTCCCGCCTTCATAAACTTAATGTCTATATGAGGAAAATAATATACAAGGAATATATGAAACACGTGATGACGTGATGGGGAGAGTTTTCCACCAATTTTCAAACAGCGAGACGAGATTATTTTTGGTGAAATTCGGGTTACGTATCAAAAACTGAGGAGTAAAATGAACGGAAAAATTAAATACAAAATAACTAAATACTATTAATTTTAAATTTTGACCAGGTTTTCAAAACACCGTCGCACTTATGATTTGCTATGTTTAAAACTCGATAATTAATTGATTAATGGGATTAAGATGAAGGGAAAACGAGGAAAACGACTGCAAAATCTTAGAAAGAGACTAAGAGATTTGGAGAAGTCCCGTTCTATAGAAATGCCTTCTTACTGAAGTTTCGAGTAAGGGGAAAAACGCACATACAAAATAAAAGTAGCTTTTAAGTTGGTTGTAAATCTGACTCCAGCAATTCCTCAGACTACATGCAGTGTGGTTTCGAATTCCGGATGACACCTGTTATTTCTTTAACTTGTCACAGCTCAGCAAATTTATGTGATAGCAAAAAAACGATTTTCAGTATCCATCTCCTATCATCAACCAGAGACTCAAGGCTAGTGCAGAGTTTAATTTATAAGTTTGAGACTTGTTATCAAAATTGGCAAGTTAGTCGACAGTCAAGTCCAGAGTCCCAGTCCATAGTCCAGTCCAGAGTTCCATTCTATTTTCCAGCTGGCCCCAGGGGAGCCCTGGGGACGAGAAAGAGTTCATCGACTATCAAAGTTATTTCTTGGCTCGATTTCCGCCGCTCTCTTTTTCCCGAGCAGTTCTCATTTTCCCAAACAGCGGCTGGTAATCGAGCCTAAGTTATTTCTGATTGTTTTGGATCGTTTTCTTGGTGGTTGTGGGTCGTTTTGGACCGTTTTCTAGGTGGTTGTGGGTCGTTTTGGTTCGTTTTGGGTGCTTCCGCGTTTTAGTAACTCCGATTAATTTGCATCAATGAAAAAAATAAGCCATATGCCATCCATTTGGACGTTCGACATGCATGTACTATACAATAAACAAAAAGTCGGTAGAGTTGTGTGATAAATTTTATCTGGGATTTCCTCTAAATCATCATTGTGGTGCCAGAACGCTCGTGGAGGAACGAAGACCGGACTCGAGAGAGCGGCGTAAATCGAGCCTAGTATGACAGTGTTCTGGATGTCTTATTTTTACGATTTATTTCTCCATTAAAATGATATATGCTCATCTAATTCATTTGCTTTCATTTGTCTGTTTTTTTCGTCCTTTGAGCCAAGAAATAAATTTGAAGAAATAAATAAACTGTATCAGCGTGAAAGAAAAGGAAAAAGGAGAAGCTTTCACGCGGGTCACCCATCCAAATTCTGACCCCGACGAACAGGGCTTAACTTTTGTGATCGGAGTGGAGAGAACGCGGATTTGAAAATAGCGAATACAAAATAGTTTCACATTTTTTGTAAGTAAAGGTAAATTGTATATATTCCGTGTAAAAAAAATCGACGAAGTAACTGCGAAGTAGTAATTTGCACTACAGATCTTCACCGAATGAGTTAAATGCAGGCACCTTGTTCTAGATAAAGCTACCACAAGGAGAGCATTGGGTCGTCCGAACAAAATATATATAGAATGAATTAAAGTAGAGTTAAGGTGATGTTACACGTTCTGCGTCCATCCCCCTCCCCTGCATGTTATTATTTTAAATTAATTAATATTGATTGATTATCGATTAGTTTACGCCATAGAGCCTTACATGCTGACTTCCTTACATGATTAGTGAATCTGATCTCCAAACTCATACCAATACTGCAGATTGCACCTTGTGCACTCTGCACTAAAAACTAAATAGGTAATTACATAACTACCTTGAAATCAGTAAGCACCTATAAATTTGTATATTTTTTTATTAATTTTCAGACATGGCTGCTATACAGTGGATTGTGTTTTTCACATTCCTTGTGCTATTTACTTTCATGGAGGAAACAAAACTCGTCCAGGCTAAGTGCGGTGTGTTTCTTTGACAAAATTCAGACGAATCCTTTTTGGTATTTTGGGACGCGGTGTTGTTACACAACGCAATGCCTCGGCGCAACAATGCACAAAACACATTGTTGCAGCGTTGTCACAATCGTTGATTCTACTGCATGCAATGCATGCGGCGCTGCAAGACATTTTCATTTCAGAATAATACATTTTGCTATGCAATATAATTTCGTGCTACTTGTGTCGCAACAAAATTAAACGGAAACGAATTCCAGGAAAAATTGCTTAGTGTAACAGCGCCTTTAATTCTAATAACAACGATATTTAAATAATTTATTTAACCCTATTTAGACCCGACTTGTTTGTGAGACGCGACGTGGTGGGGAAGATTGGAAAATTCTCAGGGTTAATATATCCAACTAACTTACTTCTACTGTGTAACATGTTACAATGGCATCGAAAAAAATACGTCATTAAACTCCGCCATGCAGGTTGGACTGGGATACAAAAATATATATTTTCAGTTGATATTTATTAATGTATATTTCTTTGTTTTAGTTGACGCCCCGGACGTTACCGTTTGTGAGCACAGTAGCAGTAAAGATATCAGCTGCCCTGGCGGAAAAAACATCAAAGTGTTGGAAGCGTCCTATGGGAGGCATGACAATACTACGTGCTGGAGTAGGTCTATGAAAGACTTCAATTGTCATGCCGAGAATTCTCTTCGTATTGTGCAGGACAATTGTGACAACAAAGCCAGCTGCGAGCTGAAAGCAACCAAAGCAGTGTTTGGTGATCCATGTAAAGGAACAAGAAAATATCTGCAGGTCACATACTTCTGCAGTAAGTGGAAAAACAATTACATTCTGTGCTGTCATGATCCCGGAGGGGTTACTCAACAAAGTTTTATACGGGGAGGCTCCACCCCGAGGTCCTTTTATGTACCATTTTTGACAGAAAAGGTAGCCCTTTCATATATCGTCAATAGAAAATGGTACCCCTTTCATATACCTATGGTAGAGACACTGCATCCCTTTCCTATACCCTTGGAATGAACTTAATTAACGATATCCCCGGAAAACATCAAGCGTTACCAGTAGACATGTTTGAATTAGCCGTTAGGTGCGTCTGTTCGAGATATTTTGAAAGGCCCTTTTAAATACCTAAATGACAGTTTTCCCTGCTCTTTTCTAAACTTCAACTCGTGAAATATTTTTGAGACCGGAGTGACAGAACTGGCACGGTTCGCCAAGCATCAAAACGTTCGTATTTTATATCTTGTATATATACACCTATTTCAATTATCGTTGTCGGATAGAAATGTTTTTCAGCCCGCAAAACCGGCAAGACAAGACCGAAAGGTAGCATGGGTAAAAGTAGAAAACTGCTGCACGCACCGAATACTAATGAGAAGTAACATGAAAATCATTATTTCTAACGTTTCCTATTTGTTGTAAACCTGTAGAAGTAAGCTACTTTTAGCCAAACTTAATTTCAGCAGAATCAGCTAGTGACTGAAAAACATAGAAAAACAAATTTCCGAAAATAAAAACCGATATGGAAATCATAATGAATACCCAGACTACGAATCGGTGTTGTCTTGTACGCTTTACGTTTTCTATCCGACAACGTTAATTGAAATAGGTGTACACAAATACACAAAGACGAATCACTCGGCAGAGCGTAAGAATAGAACTGTGTACATATACTAATTATATACTATTATCCTAAGAAACTCAAACAATAAGACAATTAATTTAGACAGCACCTTAGGGAATCAATGTTCATGTTTTATGTTTTACTTGTCCAGCATTTTTAACGAAGTAACTAATATAATATTCATTATCATGTCCTGGTGAGAACCCCGAGAGGTTGAAAGTTCTTGACATTAGTCCGTAATATTTTCACGCTCCAAACTGTTGAAAATATATAAATCTAGAAGAAAATGGAACTCGTGAAATCCCTACCCTTTTATATACCTCCAACCAAAGGAGGAGGAGTTGATTTCTATCCACCCAACCTCCATGTACTGTGGGGAAGGGGGGAGGGGGCACGAGTTTGGCTGTACATCTGACCCAAGCACTTACTGAAAAGAAATCACTTTTATATTTGTTTTCAACAGGTATCTAGGAACACTGGGGCTGATGAAGCCTGCTGGAGTAACTCTAAGCAAACAAAGGGGGTGATTTATATAACGGCGAAGGACAGAGAATAGGACTCGATGTATCTAAATAAGAGTTAATAAATCATTTGCGGTTGCTACAAAATATAGTAGTGTGTTTCGTATGTGTCATTGTCTACCGTGTAATCAGTCTGCATGCATACAACATTTTTAAATATCGGTGGGCTTAAGATTAGTTGCGTTTGACAAGTGTTTAAAAAGCTGTTTAGAGCTCTCCCAATATTTGAAGTAAGCTAATTTAGACATGACGCAAAAGTACGCAAAGCCTTTTCAGAGCATACATTAGTGGCTCCACAGGCCCGCGTTTAACTACGGTTTCCGTAGCATGAAGCGGCAAGGATATTGCTACTCCCCTTACCCCTAGTCCATCGCAGGTAACCCCGCAGCATTTTGTGCACGCTAACATGCATTTCGTCGGTACCCGTTTATCCTGGGTGGAGAGAGTCACTGTGAGAGTAAAGTGTCTTTCCCAAGAACACAACGCTAACCTGAAACACACGATCCGGAGTACAACGTGCTAATCATTGCGTCACCGCACCTACATGATATAAAGAAAGCAAAGCTAAATATATTTTTAACATCTTTCTAGTCGGGGACTCGGATTTTTTTTTACTTTGTCAAACTTAAACAACATCTTTTTCATTTCATTTACCGAGCTTTAAATTTACCATCTTTCTTTATTAACACACATGACGCTTTCAATTAACATTGCTGATCCTAGCAGTATGCAGGACGCGTGTCACATACATTGTATGAACCTGGTATATGACCTAGCTCGCCACGAGTCTCCCTGTAGCTCAGTGGTTAGAGCATCCGACCGGTATGCGGAAGGGCATGGGTTTGATTCGGGTCGGGAACTCAGATTATTTCTTTGTCCCACGCTCATGACAAACTGAAACAACATATTTCTCATTTCATTTATCGAGCTTAACTGATTTACCAGCTTTCTAGAAATTAAGTCCACATAAATTAAGTGTCTGCCAGTTTAATTTCCTTTTTCTTAAAAGGAGTTATTTAAAATCACTTAAAATAGTTGGCACTGTCTTTAACCAATCACGTTGGAGAACATACGTTATTAATTGTCTGTTCCAGGCTCCCAGATTGAAATGTGAAGAAAAGGGAAAGCGAGCAAATGGCGAGCGGTAAAAAAGGGGGGAAAGGTACGCAATATAGGTCCGCAATGTAATACATGCGTGCAAAAACGGATACACATACAAAGCATGCTGTGCAGAAAATATATTAATATACCCCCCCCCCTCCAGCCCCCCCCTCTCTAATAAGCCCCCCCCCCCTATTTGGGAGTCAAATTTTGTAATAAGCCCCCTCTCTATTAAGTCCCCCCCCCCCCCCAGGCTGACTTAGTAGAGATTCGTAACTTCCATAGCAGATCAAATACGATCATAAAGAGTCGAGCTAGTCGAGCCTCCCTACCTCATGTAAACAGGCCCTAAGGATCCTCCTCGTAACTCAGTTTTTGTGAGATGAAAGTAATATTTAACTACGCTTTTTTACCAGGCTATTTGCGAGTCTTAAGATCGGTCTCCTTGCTTCTTACTTCAATTTTTTCTTTTTAAATTAAAACAGGTAACAGAACAAGTTCCAAATTTTAATTATTCCTTTGCGCCGCGAATCATGTAGACTTGTTATGTTGATTTAAAATCTTTGTCAGATTTACGGAAATACGATTCCCATACTCCAATGCATGTCTCTGGTTTATTTTCGTGGGTTTAAACTTAGAATTCTGTGCTCAAAAGTGTCCGCACTGTTCGTAAAACTGCAAATTAAAGGAAGGGTATTGAAAACCATCGCGTGAGAAAGCAGTGACCGCAGTATGATGTCTATTTATTTTATGTTTACAAGCCCAACGTGTCTTCCATTCAACGTCATCTTTCTAACGACACATTTTCGTGTATTGAATGTTCCGTCTCGTGACGACTGAGTTACACACCCGATATTGTTTATCTAATAAAGCACACACTGCGAGGAGGCCCTGTTCGACATTATGTCACAAAATTCTTCTTGCGAAGTTGTGGTATCCAAGGCATTCTGATGCATATACCGAAGTCGTTTATGTAAGTTCACTGTATTGAACAAACAGTTGAGAACAGCCCACTAAGTTCAGGCAAAACTCCAAGAATCGCGACGAAACTGAAGTGAAATTCACTTACAGAGTTGATTGAGGTAGGCGAAGTGCACAATCTGGCGTAAATCGTAGTTCTCAGCAGTATCTGTAAAATGTCCATATTTTCAGTGACATTTTCCAAGTGAATGCATGGGACCTTCCACGTGGTCAATTGCTACATCCTTTTTAAGTCGATTTAGACTGCTTTTGTTAGTCTCTTTCTATATTTGCTTCATAAATAAAAATCATCTTAAAGTGCCCATAACCTTTTTTTTTAATTTTCTCATCTGAATCTAAACATCTCTCAAGAAGGAACTTCTGCGAAAAAAATTTGCAATTTGCACAAAACGCGAATTTTTTATGAATATTTCAAATCTTCAAAATCCTATTTTTGTTGGTATACCCGTCCCGCTGTTAAGAAGGCAAACAGGCTCACATGTTCCTTCATCTATGTCACATTTCCTTTGTTTTGAAGTCACGTGTTCCTTAATCTACGTCACAGATCCTTTGTGAACCGAGAAGGACCTAGAGGAGACTAAGGCAAATGTGAGCCAAAATGGCGACAAATTTGAAAGTTTTATAAAATTCATAAAAACTTCCCGTTTTGTGAAAATCACAAAAAGTTTCGCGGAAGTTCCTTGAGAGATGTTTAGATTTAGATGAGAAAATAAAAAAGGTTATGGGCACTTTAAGCTCTGCAAAAAAACAGCATACAGTATACTTCAGTTATTATGACGCGAAATTCACTTATGCCTTTAAATTTTCGCGCACCGGGTTTAAATCTCGTTATTAGAGAGATTCCGCCGACTAATTTAGCCGGCTAATTTTTAGCGATTTTCGCGAATTCTAAGTTTAACCTCGCAAAAATAAAAGACATGCATTGGAGTATGGGAATCATATTTCCGTAAATTTAGATCTTTGGAATATTCGTAGTGACTTAAGACACCTGGCAAAGATTGTAATGGTCAAATTTGAAGGACGTATGTTGGAGGATCATGTTCTCAATTTTTCCTACATTTCTTTTAATTCTCATGGACTACATGTATAAAATCAACACGTGATTCGCGGCGACGAAAATATTTTACATTTGATTATTTCTGCTATTGACCATCCCCGTCCACTGAAAATAAATAATTAAAATTTGGAACTTGTTCTGTTTCCTGAAATTTAAGTAAGAAGCAAGAAGACCGATCTTAAGACTCGCAAATACCCCAGCGACTTCCGTCTGAAACTGAATTTTTTATCCAAATTACATGTAAGGAGAGCGATCATGATTCTTACTTCGTGAAAAGTAGCTGATGGTTTTATGTGCTCAAAAATGTCCCCACTGTTTGTAAACTGCAAAGCAAGGATATTGAAAACCATCGCGTGAGAACGCAGTGACAGCAGTATGATGTCTATTTATGTTGTATTTACCAGCCCAACGTGTCTTCCATTCAACGTCATCTTTCTAACGACCCATTTTCGTGTATCGAGGAAAAACAAGAGGAATGTTCAGTTTCGTGACGACTGAGTTACACACCCGATATTGTTTATCTATTAAAGCACACACTGCGAGGAGGCCCTGTTCGACATTATGTCACAAAATTCTTCTTACGAAGATGTGGTATCCAAGGCATTCTTATGTATACCGAAGTATTTTTATCTGTTCACTGTATTGAACAAACAGTTGAGAACAGCCCACTAAGTGCAGGCAAAACTCCAAGAGTCGGGACGAAACTGAAGTGAAATTCACTTACAGAGTTGATTGAGGTGGGCGAATTTCTTTTAACCGTATACCGGTGAAGGTTTCCTAAATCCAATCGTAGTCAGTTAGATAGAGACGCATTATTTTATCTAAAATACCTGTCTATTCAAACAAGGTTACTGAAACAGTGCACAGTTTTTGTGCACCTAAAATTTCCAGTTAATGGTGAACCGCCAAATGAAAGGAACTTGAAATATAATTTGTTTGAGATTAATTTTCATTCAAACTGGAAATGTGTTCAAAACCATAAAACTATTTTAATTTCCAAAACATGAAATCGTGGGTGCCGCCGTGTTTTGATTTTCGGCGATGGTTTTTGCATAATTAACTATGGTTTTTGCAGTTATTTGATCAATCGATGAATTTAAAAATCCTTCCACTAATTCCATCCACATTCAAAGCCATAAACTACATTTCGTTTTCAGAAGTCTTGAGAAGATCCATCAAGTCTGTGAATTCTGTTCAAAGCTAATTTTGAAGCGTGTCAGTGATCTTTCCCGCCGCGACCGTCAAATTATCGAAGCAGAGTATAAATCTTCACCGGCAACTTTTCATCATTCTGTAGTCTGTACTCCGTAAACATCCATTTTGAGGCCACTTAAAAATTCATTGGAGTTTCTCCTTTTCATTTTCAGCTTCAAAGAGAAAGTTGTTCGCAAGTTCGTGCCGTAGCACCATAGCACTGGTGCTTGTCATTACATCACAAAATAAAACTACCATTAATTTATATTAGAGTCCGCAAATAGATAAAGAAGCATAATAAAGCCACAAAAAGTTCAGCTTGAAACTCAAAAGAACTCACGTAGGCTCCGCGAAAAACGACGCAATGGCTTGTCGCTGGAACTTTGGCTTGAGGCATCCGCGCACACGCATTGCGCATTTAACCACAATCACAAGTCTTTGATCTTTCCGCGGACCACACTGCTTTGCGTCGAAGAGAAAGGTTTTTCGCGTCCCCTTATAGAAATCCGCGATCATCGATTGATTAGAAGCTGCTCCGTTTGAAACATGAAGGCAAGAGTTCGAAAAGCGTACTATTCGATATTTATTCCATTCCCCCAGAGTCTAACCTGGCGACGACCCGCTGACCGAGGAGACCGTTGACTCTGGGTACGAGATTGGTCATATCTCAGCAAAGATATGTGATAGTGACCAAAAATTTATTCATCTTCTCTCATCAAAACCTAAATAATTAAATACCTTTTAATCAGTAAGCACCAAGTGCTTAAATTTATTGCTTATTTTTTAAATTAATTTTCAGATATCATGGCTTCTCAAAAGTGGATTGTGTTTTTCACAGTCATTGTGCTGTTTACTTTCATAGAGGAAACTGCTGGACAGGATGAATGTGGTGTGTTTATTCAGACAGATCCATTTTGGTATTTTGGGACGCGGTGCACTGAGTTGCACAACGCAATGCTTCGACCCAACAAAGTTTTGGAGACAAGATACACGAAACAGTGTTGCTTAGTGTAACATTCCTAACACCAATTGTACGTGCAGCGTTATCACAATCGTCGCGAAAAGTAGAATTTGATTCTACTTCATGCAATGCATTCTGCAACGAAAACGTTGCAAGGCATTCTCATTTCAGAAAAGGTTTTGCTATGCAATATAATTTAGTGCAAGGTCGCAACAAAATTGCGCAACAAGTTCCAGAAAAAATTGTTTTGCTAGTGTAACAGCGCCTTTCATTCTAATAATAGCATATTTACAGAATTTATTTAACCTTATTCGATCCTATTCAGAGCCGCTTTGGGTCTTTCGGGACGCGACGCGATGAAAGTTCCCGGGGTTAATGTTGAGTCATGTTGAGAGATGTTGAGACCATGCCGTGTCAAACGGCTTCAACATTTCGAGAACAAAAGAAATGTTGTGAAGATGTTGAGACAAAGGGGGTGTCAAACAGTTTCATTATCGCCTCTCAACAAATGTTGAGAGAATGTTGAGACAAATGTTGAGACCGTTTGTTTGGGACTTTATTTATGCT